TAGGCAATTTTTATATATAATTTGTCTAATTCTAAGTTACTATTTGAAAGTTACGACATGTTCTTCATAGCATGATTTAGAGCTCGCCTAAAGAGCAACCCTACCTGCAAAGGAGTTTAGCTCGCCTGAAGGCTTCAAGCTTTAAGCTCGCCCGAATTAGGCTGGCTCGTATGCACAACCTCGCCTACCAAGCTCCCCTACATATTTGAAGCTCGCCTACATAAGGCAAGCTCACTCAACAGTTGGGAGCTCGCCTGCATGACCCAAGCTCGTCTGCACGCTTGAAGCTCGCCTGCATATCTGAAGCTTGCCTGCACAAGGTAAGCTCACCCGAAAGCTCACCCGACAGCTTGGAGCTCTCCTGACGATCCCCTTGGGCTCTCCTAATGCTTGAAGCTTGCCTGCATGATCCAGCCTCGCCTGCACAAGCTCGCTTGCACAGCCTCGCCTGAAGGCCAAGCTCACATGCACAGCCTTGCCAGCTCGCCTAGCCTGTCAGCCGCCCACTTGAAGCATGGGAGCAGTTGAATCCCTTGAATTAAGGGATAGGTTATCCTCATGATCGTACCCAGCACGGGAATAGTCATTTCCCACGATTTAATGGATTTGGTCATGATTCTCCTCATGACCATACTCAGTATGGGAATGGTCACTTTCCATGATTTAAATGAGTGATTACATTCTCCTTCTTCTCTATAAAAGGCCATGAGCAGCCAAAGAGAAAGGGTCTTAGGACCCGACCTCTTTGAGGACGAGTTACAGAGAACTCAAGACCATCTTGGACTCGAGATCAGCCTTGTTCCAGGCACGCTGTCGGCAGAGTCTTAGTCTTTAGAGATCAGAATTCTTGTCATTTAAGAAGACCGAATTCTTGGCATCTTCGGCCTATAAGCACAAGCACTTGTTTGGCCTCGGTTGATCGAACTCATCCAATCAAGCTTCTACTGTGTACTAAAACTTCAAGCACTTGTTTGGCCTCTGTTGATCGAACTCACCCAATCAAGCTTTTACTGCATACTGAAGCTTGCCCGCAACTTTAATCGGATCGTCCAAGGGAAGCAAACTCGGCACGAGCACTGAGGGAGGTGTCCTATATCTACCAAAGACCCCCACGTTAAAAAAGGAGGGCATTCTCTCCGCTTCTGTTATAACTTTAATTCATTAGGTTGTAATAAGCTATTCTTATTAATACAAACGAGATCCCTATTTCAGAAAATTAAATTTTACCCCCTACATGTATATTTGTGTATGCCAGTGTACATCTGTATGCGAGAGTGTGTGTATATTAGCATATGTACCATATTGTTAGTAATCCAATACATTTGAGACCTAAGCTCCTCCCTGAGACTATCCATCTTAGCTACTCGACCCCTGATAAGGTTGCCTCCTCGATAACTCGATTCTATACAATATAAATTAGTCAACTGTAAGTCGACAATACAAAAGTAGATATATTCTAGTAACATCACCCCCATAACATTTTGCCAGGACATTTTTTCTCATTGCTAAAATACTAACAAGAAATAAAAATATATAATTTGATGAATACTAAAACTGAACATGATACAATAAATGAGAATATAAGGAAATACCTAAGATAGGCAGTGATTTTTAAGTGACAAGAAATACATTGTTACCTACTTCCTTAAACAACAGTTGATAATTTTTATGCTTAGATGAGTTTAAACTGCACATCCAATAGGACAACCATGGTGTCACTATTATGGGTTTCACAACACTATACTATTTTACCAAGTGATATCTTGAGAGGGAAGTTGCAACCAAAAAATAGAAGGTTGCCTACCAGAGAATATCTTTTTTGATTTTAATAAGGTCAAAATCAAACAGCCACTTCCAAAGAACTGTGAGAAAGGATTCACTGCTATTAGTAGTGAGTCTCATGAAATTGCCAGACCATGTGCTAAGGTGGATGAATTTGTCAATTGAGTAACGACTAGATTGTAATTGCATGGGTTGAAGAAACAGAGAAAAGGTTAAGTAGTTACCTGTACTATCTCCTTTTTCTTGTGCACTTCTCCTTTAGGTATTGGAACGTACTCCTCTACTTCAAGATCAAATTCTATAGCAGAAGTATCACATCTACCTACTCTCTTAATAGCACCACTATTTTGCTTCAATGTATATAACATCACCTACAACACCTGTAGTTGGCACATTAGTCTCTGATTAGCAACAAATAGAGCTAGCAAAACATAAGGTATATCAATCAAACAAGTCTTGCACAAAAAATGGATATGTGTATACAACACGATGATGCATCATATAACTAAGTTGGTCAATTCACCCCACAATTAAGAAAAAGCTAATTGCAGATACATATAAGAATAGGGTGAACTTACAAGAAAATGATGAAAACATATAGAAAACAAAGAAAATGATTGCTATTGTCAAACAAAACTACATTATGCTTAGGAAAAATGATTTCCTTATAAAATGTCCTTTTACATGACTGAGAAAAAAAATTAGCCAACCATATAATGATATATCTTTTAGTATAGCAAAAAAGGATGATACCTTTGAGAACCGAGACTAAGTAAAAGCATAAGAACGGGATATTGCAGGAGCCAAAAATTATTTATTTATTTTCCCTAAAAGATATAATCATATAATCATGAACCACTCATGACATACATATTAACTAGATGTTTTCATATTATCAATATGGTATTCATAGCAATTTTTTGGATTTGCAAGTAAATATTTTGTTAGAATACTCAAGATAATTTTCATAAGATTGATGCCTCAACATATGAGGTTTCATGGAATAATTATTTAATAGAATACTCAAGATAATTTTCATAAGATTGATGCCTCAACATATGAGGTTTCATGGAATAATTATTTAAATGCTAGTAACAAGCAATTTTCATAAGATTGATGCCTCAACATATGAGGTTTCATGGAATAATTATTTAAATGCTAGTAACAAGCCGTAGGTCCTCATATTTTATTAATCACAAGACAGAATCCATCAAGTTTAAAAGATTTTTATAAGGTTAAAGTTTCCATTGTATAAACCAAATGGAAATAACACAATAGTAAACAAATTAAACTTAGCATACAATTGACATGAGATCTTGTGGACATGTTTTGCACAATGCACAAATAAATAACCCAAAAATTGACAAACACCATAATTTTAGCTAGTTTATCACATCTCTCAGAATATAGATAAAGATTAGCACATATGAGAAAAGGAGTGGATAGACTTGTAGAAATCTTCCTTACAGAGAGAAATTGAATCTAAGTAACTTCTCTTCCCGACGAAAATTCTAGTTATCTTCCTCACCAAAATTCTCCTACTTTGATGTTTGATAGACCTGCAAATGTTTAAGGAAAGCATGAAAAGAAAAATAAAAAGATTGATTAGGGTTTTATATTATACAATCAACATAAACAAATAAAAGAAAAATATGATTTTTCTATAGAATGCTATATCATCGAATCTCAAGAAAAGAGAGACTATCAAATACCCCTAAATTACTCAATGCTAGTAGCAATCGGCATCACATCCTCCACCTTTACTCAACGAACCCTTATTGGAATCGGAGGAGAAGAGGCGGGTCGTAACAACGGCCGCGGGGCTCCTTAGGGTTTCGCCGCTGAGGTGAGGGCTGAGATGGGAGAGGGACCAGG